CTTGAGCCACCATGTTCTACTGACACACAGGTTTAAGGTCTACGAACTCACTTGCTTTCCTATTATGAGTTCTTGGTTCTCAGGATTAACGAGAAGCATAGCAACAAATGCACACAAATGGCCTGTTTTCAAGCCAGGCATGGTGGCGCACACCTTTAATCCTAGCACTTGGGAAGCAGAGGCAGGTGGATCTCTCAAAGTTCGAGGCCAGCCTCGTCTACAGAGTGAGTTCCAGGACAGCCAGGACTACATAGTGACACCCTGCCTTGAAAAAAAACAAACAGACTTCAGAGCCCTGAATGGTATATAGTAAGTCCATCCAGAGCCCAGCCAGGAAAACCTTTAGCTCTGCAGAGAACCTGCACAAGGCAGACTGTGTAGTCTCTGCCTGTGTAGGTGACAGAGGACACAATTTCACCTGTGCCGCTGTCCTCAAGTGACTGCTCTTCCCAAGGTTCACGGTTGTTGTCCTAAGGAACAACACATTTCTTAGGCAGCTTTCACTTTGTAGGTGTTTCATTCAGACATCTCAAAAGATCAGCAGTGAGGGAGGAGGGATGGGTCAGCAGTGAGGGGTGGCTTGGGTACCTCTCTCGAAGGACCAGTCTGATTTCCAGCGCCCAAGCCAGGCAGCTCACAACTGCCTGCAACATCAGCTCCAGGGCACTCAATGCATTTCTGGCCTCCAAGGGTACTGCGCTCATGTGAATATACCTACCCCACAATTCTATAAAACACAATCTAAAGTATCATTATCTACTAGCAATGACTTGCAGTGGAGAAAGAGTGAAGGAACTACTGAGGCAGTCTGCCCAATACAAGTCTCTCTACAGTGAGGCTCCAGGACCCCCAGTGACCAACAGCCCCAAAAAGAAAACCACTCACGAGGCTGAGCTGGGCCTCCTGAGGGACTCACATCACCCCTGTCCCATCTGGAGACTCTCTCCCACTGCAGTTTTCAATCTGTGCTGCAGAGCACCCAGGGAACCGGCCACAGGAAACACTTGACATCTACTGATACCTCACACACATAAGTGTGCTTTCCAAGTAGCAACTGTGTTGTGAGAACAGTGATACTTAGTGTCTGCGGCTAATTCCTTCAGACAGGGATGGCAAAGCATTTCTTTGACCTAGGACTGATGTGAACAAAAGTCCTGAGGCCCAGTTGGTGAGCTGAGAGCACAGCCTACAGGGTGCCTTCACCCATCTTACAGAACACAGGTGCACCACATCTTGAGACTGCTTCATTTTACTCTTGGAGAAGCATTCTCCCCTTCCCTACCCCCACCTCATAGACCCTGCAAAAATGGGTATCACAGTCCTATGGGCTGAGTGAAGTGGCATGTGTGCCTGGGCTCCATGTCTGGAGTGCCACCCAGGCCACCTAGCTACAAGGCTCTTGCCAACTCCCATGTCAGTCTGGTTGTTTTTAGTCTTCTGACAGAGTCTGACAGTAGAGTTCCTGCTGGTCTGGAAATAAGAGACCCAGAAGCCTGGGCTGGATCTAAAGGTGTGTGCCACCATGCCCTGCCAAATCTGCCGCCCCAGGCAGGGTTTCACTGTTTAGACCAGTTTGGCCTTACATTTGTGGACCTCCTGCCTTAGCCTTCTAAGTTAGCCACCACACCCAGCTTGAGCCCCTAGCATTTTAAGAATGTTTTCTTTTGATTTCACTGGGATCATACACACCTCTTCCAAAAATGCCAGAACAATTTCTCCTGATCAATGTTAGCTCCTAGAAAGGTCAGGATTCTTTCCCTAGCACAGAGCCTAGACCAAAAACCTCAGGGAGCTGGCAAACTCAGGCCCCCCTGACAGTTGGAAGCACGCCGATTCATCTTTTTTGTTACAGGTCATCTCTCCCTACTTGTTTTCAACGGAAGGGTGTGGCAGGACAGTGAGTGGAAAACCCTCTATCCATGCGAACTGAAGGACTGGAGGGAAAAAGAGACACGGGCTGTGTTCAAGAGCAATGGAGGTAAAGCCTGGACAGGGGAGAGCAGCACAGAGCAAATGGAGAGAAGACAAACAGGAGCCATCGGGTGCCCTGAAGTGCGTGCTGCCAGAGGACTGACACTGCGGCTCCTGACTTTCCCCAGGACAGCAGTGGCACCTTCTGTTGAGTGATCAAAGCATATAAGGGCCAGACTGTTTACTGAGGAGGCGAGGTCAGAAACTAAAAGAAACCATGGAATAGAAGCTCGCAAGCGTTTAGTTTCTGTTGGCATGCTGAGGTGCCTCCCCTCTGGCCACCTCTTCTGATCTGTGACAAAGTCAGTACCTGCAGAGCACAGACCCTATTATCTCAGACTGATGAAGACCAAAATGTACCTCTGCACTGCACCACGGCACACATGCATGCCCCTCCCACCATAGCTATACACACATATAATAATAATTTAAAATATAAAAAAGTAGCAAAACAAACAAAAATGCAATTTCTAGTCTCAGTACCTTTTTGTGTTCTTTTGGTTTGGTTTTTGGAGACAGATCTCAGTATGTAGCCCTGAAACTTGCTGGCATTCCATACCATACCAGATTGTTTTTTTTTAAACTTTAAAGTCAGCTTGCCGGGCGGTGGAGACACTCCTTTAAGCACTTGGGAGGCAGAGGCAGGTAGATCTCTGTGAGTTAGAAGCCAGCCTGGTCTATAGAGTGTGTGTTCCAGGACAGGCTCCAAAGTTACAGAGAAACTCTGTCTCAAAAACAAACAAAACTTTTAAAGTCAACTAGCAGCAGCAAGAGAATTCTAAATGTTGTCCTTCTACCACAACCAAGTCTTGTCCTGGGAGGCTCGGGCCCTTTGGGGATTTAATCTAATCTCAAAGCAACCTATAAACTAGCGCATCATTGACAAATAGGTTTTACACATCTAAGAAACTTCTACAGTGAGATTACTCCCTTTTGAAGAACACAAACCACTTCGGCCAGAGACGACAGAAATCTCTTGACTATGTGATGCAAACCTTTTCCATGTAGCTAGCTCTGTGCAGTTTCAGATCTGCACCTGGCTGCTACTTCTCTTCCCTCCCAACTGTCACACCCTGGGACATGACTATCCGCTCTCCCAAAGCATGGAGGCCAGAGGTAGACACCTAGTATCTTCCCCCACTGTCCTCAACCTTACTTTCTGAGATAAGGTCTTTCCCTGAATCTGGAGCTCACCAACTGGCTAGACTGACAGGCCAATTAACTCTAAGGCTGTGTGTCTCCATCCTGCCCTGGTGCTGGGGACAGAACAAGCTAAAAGTCGAATGGAGAGCGCCACCTAATGGACAGAAGCCCCAACAGCAATTATCAGCTAAGCAAGTGACACAGCAGCAAGTCCACCTGTTAGAATTATTCAAATCAAAAGCTTAGAAAACTTAAATAAAACAAACTGGACAAAGTAAGAGAAGTGGCTCAGAAGTTAAAAGCACTTGCTGCTTTTGCAGAGGACCTAAGTTCAATTCCCAGCACCCCACATGACAGCTCAAGACAACTATTAACTCTAGTTCCAGAACTAGACACCTCATCTGACATCAGTGAGCACCCATCCATACAGTGCACGTGTGCATCTGTCTGTCTGTCTATCCTTTATTAACTGCTCTTACACAGGGCAGTAAGAAAGTTTCACAGGGCTCCCTCTCACCAATCCTTCCTTAAGGATTTGCTGTTGGGATCACAGGGTGACTGCCAAGTGCATGCCGATTTCTCCAGGTGGCCTTCAGTCTAGAGCCACAGGTCTGCCCCATACCCTCCTAGTTCTTAGCCTAGGTTTTTTTTACTCGGCACAGAAAGTAGTTTGCACCTAGTTTTTGGGCCCACACTGTCCACTCTAGCACTCTCCTTGCTAAGACAGTTATCTGCAGCCTCTGCTGATGGCTATAGAGCAGTATCAATGGCAGAATCAGTCCTACAATGGAATGGTCAAGCTATCTTTTCAGACACTGTTGGCCCTTCATATTTACAAGTTTCTCATCTATGAATTCAAGCAACTGTAGGTTTAATTTTTTAAATCTGCACCTGTGTTGGACATGAGTAGATTTTTATCATTTTCTGAACGATACAGTGTAACAATGATTTACAATGTACCAGGTAGTGCAAATAGCTCTGAGATGATCTGAAACTGGCAGGAAGACTCACATAGGTTATATGCAAATATACCACTTTAAATAGTCTGTGAGAAGCTATGGTCTTGGGTATCTACAGGGCATGAAGGTGGGGTGTCCTGGAACCCCAATTACCCATAGATGATGAGGGCCTAATGTTCTATATCACAACCAGACATAATTTTCCTAAGTCTCACTATGCCACTTGAAGATCAGTTTACAACTGTGAAATGTGGTATCTCCTCCTCCATGGAATTACTCTTGGGGAAGAATGTATCATAAAGTATGATTCTGCAAAAAGTACCTTCCCAGTACCCAGTGCACAGCAAGCAGCTAGGCCTTCATTACCACAGGCTCCTTAAGAACTGTGACAAGAATCACTGCTAATTACTCTCAGCTGCTGCAGGACAAACCTATGAGCAGAAATAGGTATGCTTTCAAAAAAGACCATTCTGCATACTTGCCTGAGAGTAGAAGGGCACATCCCTGGGAAAACAAGGGCTGGACTCAACAACTCTGGCAAGGTCTCAGGTTGATCCCACCTCTCAGAACCTTCTGAGAGAAACCACAACAGACATGGGAGCCCTATGCCTTGATTTTAGAAAGACTCCCTCATCTAACCCATAAAGTCCCAAACTGGCTGTAGAGTGTGCATGGGTTATAGGATCCAGACAGGCCACTTGTGTTTCTGATCTAAAGTCTCACAGAACCCAGGCAGGAAGTCCAACTGGCTTCAAGAATTCCTAGTGGCCTTAAGGCTCTTCATTAAGCTGGCTATAACTGGCCTCATCCCAGAAAATATCCACACTGGGTGCTAGTGGGACAGATCCTGACCCAACATATCCACTGGGTCAGAATGCTAAAAGCCTCAATCGAATCCAGCCACCCGCCACAGCCAACACCAAATACCTTTGGGTCATCAGCCTCAGGTTTTTCAGTCTCTGAATCGTCATCTTCCTACAAGACAAAGAATTTAGAGGATTAAACTTAAAAGGAGTGGGCCGGGGAATACACATACATAGCCAGCGGTGGAGCAAACGGCCGGTTACCCAGCGGGGGTCATCCCACCAAGAACCCTTCCCTGCCACACAACCCAGGACTAGGGGAAGAGAAGAAGGGAAAAGGAGATGTTCTTGGGGTGGGGGAATCGGTAGCTCAAAACCAGTGTCACCATCCACACTGATGAAGAATCCTTTACAAACCATGTGAAGAGAGGGCAGATCCAACAGGCTCCACACTGTCGGCCAGGCCACAGGGTTCAAAAGGCAAACTACATTTAAAGCCAGGACTATGAACTTTTACCACTTCTTTGACATTCATACCCACAATCACGCAGACTGCCATCACATTTTAAACACCTAGGTGTGGTGACACCAGCACCTCAAGCCAGCAGCATCGACACTAACACAAATATGGGAAGGCGGCATCAAATCACCAAACCATGTGACCCCAGACACTGGGGACTAAAAGGCAAGGCAGGGGGAGTGCTCACATTACTGTCACTGATCCACTGTTTTCAGGCCTCTTCCCTACCCAAATGAATTCTCCAAGGTGAGCCCACAATTCCACCGAACACAAACGCACCTAAGGTCAAAAGCTAAAAAGTAGATGTGGACCCACCTACTACATTCTAACTAAACAAGATACAGTCCTTGGGAAGTTAATACAATAGACCTAAGTGTGAACAAACCACACTGATGGTTTTGAGACAAGTGCCCTGGGTGGCACCATGGAAATCAAGGCTTATGTTGCCACCACAGCTTCCTTAAATGAAATCAACTACAGAATCAAAGATGGGTCTTGGCAAAATGCTAACATAGCTCCCACTGTCTCTACTGGGGGTTTGATAAGAGTTTTCTTTTTTTTTTTAACTAAAATATCATACATAGCTTGAATATGACAAAAAGTAAATTTGGGTCAATAGTTTTAAAAACACACATGCAAACAAATGCATTTAAGAGAACAGTTCTGGGTGTTGAGGCAGCACTTACACATTTAAGAAAAGCCAAAGAACTTAAAGCTTGTGTGCCTGCCTGCCTTCTTTCCCACCTTCTAGACAAGAGTGACCTTGACTTGCTGGTCCTCATTCTTTTTTTTTTTTTTTTTTTTTTTTTTTTAGATTTTATTTATTTATTACGTATACAGTCTTCTGCCTGCATGTCAGCAGAGGGCACCAGATCTCATCCAAGGTGGTTGTAAGCCACTATGTGGTTGCTGGGACTTGAACTCAGGACCTCTGGAAGAACAGTCAGTGCTCTTAACCGCTGAGCCATCTCTCCAACACCCGGCTTTACTTATTTATTTGAGATGGGAATATGCTCTGGAATCTTTTCTCTTCCTGCTTTAGCACCCTGAATGCTAGAATTGCCTGCATGGACCACTGTACTTAGTTAAAAAAGCATTTTAATGCTACCATTTACATAAAGACATATAACAAAAAATAAAGTACGTTGTGAGCATTTCAATGAGCATTGCTTCTAAGTGGCCAGATTCAATACCCAAATTCAATTTCAGATGTCTTCTTGTGCTAAGCAACAGCCTGAATTTCCTTGCCTTTTACCCCTTCAAATTTTAAAAATCTCATTTGTACTACCCAGGCCGTTGATAATGAGAACACAAGTCCTCCTTCTATTGTTACCTGCACCTACTTTTAACTTCAAGGAAAGTTTGTGATCAAGAACCAGGGCCACGCTGACAAAAACACCAAGTAAAATATAACAAAAGAATCAAAGTGGATGATAACAAAATAACTTCCCTTCCTTACCTCGTTAGAAAGTGAAGCATTTGAATAAGCTTCAAGCAAGATTAAAAATAAAGAAAGTTGCTTATAGACATGTAAATGATACACTAATAAGGATGAACATAATTATGCAAGTAGGAAGACTAGTGGCTTTCAGGAGGCTGAAGCAAGAGCGTCTGGAGCTCAAGGCTACAAAGCAAGTTTGTGGACAGCCTGGGCTTCATAGACCCCGTCCCAAACAAAACACCTCCCACATCCCCAATTTCAATCCCAAAGTTACAATATGGTGCAGATGAAAAACCAACTTAATTTTCAAAGAGAACCACTATTACTCAACCAATTCAACTTTTTGTTCGTTTTGCAGTGCTGAGGATCAAGCCCTTGACACGCTTAGGCAAAGCTCTATCCCATGAACTACATTCCCCAACTGGTACCAACTGATTCTGAACAATAGGGAAAAAGGGACAGCGTTAACCACGGAATGGAATACTGTTTCCCACAGCTCTGGATCTGGAAGATTTACCCACCGACTGCTTGCTGTTCTCATCCTCCTCTTCTTCATAACCATCTTCATCACCCCCAAGGCGGGAGAAGTCGTCTTCTCCATAGGCATCAGATACCAAGCCACCTTTCTCTTCTGAAAGAGGACAAGGAGAGAATGATGAGAGAGCAGGGGATGCAAACATGTTTCTGAAAATTGAATGGTCAAAATTCATTCATTCTTTCTTTTTTGTTTGTTTTTTTTTCGAGACAGGGTTTCTCTGTGTAGCTTTGTAGACCTGGCTGGTCTTGAACTCTCAGAGATACACCTGTCTCTGCCTCCTGAGTGTTGGGATTAAAGGCATAAGTGGCTAAGAATATTACTGAAAATAAAAAGGGAACCTAAGTCTCGGGTAAGTGACTACGGGCTCAGATCAGATTCTGCACTTAGGAAGACCAAATTATGAACAGAAGTGTTGAGGTCATGGGTGTTGGCCCATTCCTTTAATCCCAGCACTGGAGAGGCAGAGACAGGTGGATCTCTGAGTTTGAGGCCAGCCTGGTCTACAGAGAGAGTTTCAGGACAGCCAGGACTACACAGAGAAACTCTGTCTCAAAAAAAAAAAAAAAAAAAAAAAAGAACAAAAACAGAATTCCCACTGTGATATCCAGTTCGTGGGCAAAAGGATTACCGATAGGCTTTGAAAACTCCAAAGTGACATTATCACCCAGGACCCTTAAAAGGCTTAGGAATGTCCAGTACATTCTATCCCAGCGCTACAGAATCACGCACTCTGGAGACATTTACTTTTAAAAGCCTATTCCCAAACAAAAGTTACCAACTTAACGAACGCAAGTTTTATCACCTCCAGGACCACTTCACTACTCTCCCACCCCGTCAAACAACGGGAGAGGGGCCAGACAGGGGTGCGGCACCCCGCGGTGCCGGGCAGAGGTTCCCACGAAGGGAGATCTTCCGTACTAGGGGTTCTAATGCTCTGTCTGCCCTAGGACGCGGACTGCGCTCTGGGGTTCCAGGGGAGGCCCGATGCGCGGAGACGGTGAGCATCCCTTCTCCTCAAACCTCCCTAGAGAAGCCGCGTTTTCAACCGTAACAGACGCCGATCGCCCTTCCCAGCTCAAGGCTCACCAGCCGCGCCGCCCACAGCGTCGACTCCAGCCTCGCCATCAGATTCAGGCTCCGAGTCTTCCGCATAAACTGCAAGAGACGACAAAACGTTCTTCTTCCCCGCCATCTTATTCCCTCAGGACGGTGTGGCTCACGCCGATGACTCACAGGCCGACTTATGGGCACCGAAACCAACTTCTTCCGGATCCCAGGAGACCCCGCGCTAGAACGAAAGCCAATCAAAACGGCCATGTCTGGTATGGCCCCGCCCCCCTCCGCACGCCGCTTGCAGACGTCATCAGCAGGGGACGGAAGTGAGGTTTTTCGGCTTTTAGTTCGCTGACTTCTAGAGCGAGTTGGCTTCTGAGTTGGCTTCTGAGTCGGTGTGTAGTGTCTGTTGAAGAGCTGCAGAGCCGGCATAAAGGAGCCTGGGCTCTGACATCTTGCGGGGTACTCGGCTGAGGAAGAGCGAAAGCTGTTGGCTTGGGGGCTGAGAGGAAGAAGAGGGAAGGAAGGTGGGGGCGGGGGGCGGTCTCCTGGGGGAAGAACGGTCGCTACGGCTTTGCTTCTAGAACAAGGACCCTAGAAAAAGGGTTCCAAGTTCTCCTGGCAGTTTTGAAGACGTTTGTGGGCTTCTGTTGTGGCCCACGTTTCTAGGTCTGTTCTACTGGCCTGGGGTAGTTCAGTGTTTTTTGTTTGTTTGTTTTTCCATGAAGGGAGAAGTAATGTTAATCTCCCAGGAATGTATTGCGTGAAGCAATTCAACCTTGGGTTTTACTGCATGAGAATGATGTGTTTAAGTGTAACGTAGCAGGCTAATAATGGCAGAAGAAACATCGGCTGTATTTTAAGTGGGAACGGAGCATTTTCGTGACACCTTTGCGCTAACCTTTTGGCTGCTGCTTTTTGCTAAAATGAGCGCCCACCCTTTCTCCACTCCCTTCGACCCGGAGCGGCGAGTCCGGAGCACCCTGAAGAAAGTCTTTGGGTTTGATTCTTTTAAAACACCTTTACAGGAGAGTGCGACCATGGCTGTAGTGAAAGGTAACATATCCTGTTTTGCAGACTCCTGGCCGTACCCGTAGTAGAACTGTAACACAACACCCTCTCCTTGACTCTTCCCACCTCCTCACCCTTGGTCACCCTTCCACTGGTTTGGAAATCTTTCACAACCAAAGCTAAGGGGTTTTTATTGATGATAGGTTTCTGTTTCTTATTTATTTGTTGACAGTCTCTGTAGCCCCAACTTGCTTTTACCTCCCTGTGTACATCTGGCTGGCCTCAAATTTGAGCTGATCCTTCTGTCCCTGGATTATTAAATACGGGGATTACAGATGTGGGACATCATGACTGGCTGCATACAGACTTGGAGGTTTTTGTTTTCGTTTGTTTTTTCGACACAGGGATTCTCTGTAGCTTTTTGAGCCTGTCCTGGAACTCGACCTGTAGACCAGGCTGGCCTGGAATTTACAAAGATCCACCTGCCTTGCTTCCCGAGTGCTGGGATTAAAGTCGTCCACCACCACCACCTAACCAGAGTTGGAGTTTTAATAACAGAACCACCACACTTGTTTTTTGATTTTTTTCATAGCAAGACATACAGATTGTCTTTGAAGTCTGTTCCTAGACATCCGTTCTCGTTTGTGTGTAGGTAGTACCAAGGGTGGCAGAGATGCTTAATTTTGGCATTGACCTAGGTTATCCTCTCACTGAAGATTGAGTAGTTTGAGTCCAGATAGAGGAGAGAACAATAGTACTGTAGATGGAGATAAGGGGGCTGAGGTTGTTCAGGTGGGAGCAGCAGGGTCATGTTAATGATGTTTATCTTTAAATATTTTTTATTTTTGTTTTTTGAGATAGGGTTTCTCTCTGTAGCCTTGGCTGTTCTGGAACTTGCTATGTAGACCAGGCAGGTTTCAAATTTAGAGATCCTCCAGCCTTTGCCTCCAGAGTCCTGGGATTAAAGGTGTGAACCACCGCCGACTAGCAAAGATATGTTTATAAACAGACTTCTGAGTGACAAATAGCCTTGCATTCCTCCACAGGAGTGCCCAGTGTTCTGCTTCCCTGGTTGTTTAATCCAAACATTCATTTCCCACCAGCTGAAGACTATTTCTTCAGTTCTTCAGTTTTTCTACTCATTCTTTTTTGGAAACAGGTTCTCACTAAGTAGCCTTGGCTGCTTAGCTGGCCTAGAACTCACTTTGTAGACCAGGCTGTCCTCAAACTCACAGAGATCTACCTGCCTCTGCCTCCCGAGTGCTGGAATTAAAGGCGTGCACCACCATGCCTGGCTCTTTCTTCTTCTCCACCCCCAGACAGGGTTTCTCTGTGTAGCTTTGACTGTCCTGGAATTCACTTTGTAGGCCATTTTTTAGTAGTGCTATGAAGTTGGAGAACACCAAGAAAAGATTCCCCATACTCAATTTAAATTGTAATTAGCAAAATTTATCAAAGCTGCTAGCAAGGCCACAGTCTCTAACCGAAATCAGAGATATGCCACCTAGAGGTGGGAGAAGGAAGGGCTTTTAAAGGCAAAATCCACAAGCATAGTTCGGCTATGCCAAGATTAGATGGTCAAGGTGACCTCAAAATAGACCTTGAATATCTGCATAAACAAATTATGAAGCCAAAATCAGCAAGTCATAACAAGCAGATGCTCATGGCTGTACATTTCTGGTGGAAGTCAAGGGGTCAGGGTTGCTGGGAATTTATCTTCCAGGAACTTGAATCAGAGATAAACAGCTATTAAGTGCTACAAAATGGAGTTTCTTTAGCCATCACAGAACCATTGTTAGAAGCAGTTTATCCGAAAGTCTAGGTCTCTCAAGGTCCTTTCCCTTTTACATAGGAAGGGTGGGGAAGGAAATAAACGCTATGCTGAGACAGTCCCATATGCAGACTCTCAGCTAAACGCTTTCCTTACATTTTCATTTGATTTACAACCAATAGGACCAGGCTTAGCCACCCAGGCCTGTAATCCCAGCGTCTGGGAAGCAGAGTCAGGAGGATCATGCAAGTTCAAAGCCAGCTCAGCCCACATAGCAGGTTCCAAGCTAGCCATGGTTACATGGTGAGCACCCCCCCCATAGGGTTTCTCTGTATTTTGGAGGCTGTTCTGGAACTCCCTCATGTAGACCAGGCTGGCCTTGAACTCACAGAGATCCAGCTACCTCTGCATGCACCACCACCGCCTGGCTTAATTTTAATATTTTGATTGATTATTTGGGAATTTCACAAAATGCACCTGATCACCCTTATTTCTCAGTCCTCCCAGGTCTGCCCCCCACCTTTGTGGCCTCCCCACCCCCCAAATAAATGATTAAAAAGTCCAATTTGTGTTGTCCATATAGTCACTGCAGCATTGTCAAACTCCCTGTGGCCTGGCCCTTCAGGGAAAAGTGAGTCCTTCCCGCCTCACCAGGAGCCGTCTATTGGTGAACACCCTTAATTTAACAACAAAATGTAGTTCTTTCAACAGCCTTCATGTAAAAGCAGACAGGACATATTGGAATGTTCTCTTCTGTCTTTGCAGGTGACAAGGATGTTTTTGTATGCATGCCCACAGGGGCAGGGAAATCCCTGTGCTATCAGCTCCCTGCCCTGTTGGCCAAAGGAATCACCATCGTGGTCTCTCCTCTCATTGCCCTGATTCAGGTGAGTCTCGGGAGAATGAGCATAAAAACCAAGAAGGATCATGAGGGAGAGGTAGTTTTGACCATTTTGTTGTTGTTGTTGTTTTCAAATAAGCGTATATGGCCTGTTAAATATATTCTCTTCCCTTACTCCCCTACCCTATTCTTGCCCCTCTTGTTCTCTTCATCCTCCTGCCTAATTTTACTTTTAATTTTATGTCATACATGTTTTTTTAAGAACCTTTTTGCTACATTATGTTTATATTGGTTGTCTTCCTTCCACCATATGGATACAGGAAATTAAACTCAGGCTGTCATGGTTGGCCTCAGACACCATTACCTGTAGATCCTTCTTGCTGGCATTTTTTTTTTTTTAAGACTAGGCTAAAGTTGACCTTCCATCCCTGTCACCTTACCTCATGAGTGCTAGAATTATGTGCTGTGACCCACCTTAAAGAGAAAGGATTTTATTTTTTTACTTTTTTGGTTTTTTGAGACAAGGTTTCTCTGTGGCTTTGGAGGCTGTCCTGGAACTAGCTCTTATAGACCAGGCTGGCCTCGAACTCACAGAGATCCACCTGCTTCTGCCTCCTGAGGAGAAAGGATTTTATAGATAGAAATTTCAGTTCTTGGGCTAGAGAGTTGGCTCAGTGATTAAGAGCACTTGTGCTTGCAAAGGACCAGGATTCAATTCCCAGCACCCACAAGAGTTCTCACCACCTCCTCAGGCACCAGGCACTCATGTGGTAAACAGACATACATCATTCAGGCACAAGGCGCGAGCACACACACACACACACACACACACACACACACACACCACAATTAAGGAAATCTCACTTCTTTATTTGGCCTTTGCTCAGTAACTATACTGAGTTTCTCTATTGCCCAAATGTAGGTTTCTCCACTAGTGGTGGGTCACAGTGAATCTTTGACTTTTTTGTTTTTCTTTTTATGAGACAGGGTATTATTGTGCAGCTCTGGCTGACCTTGAATACTGTATATAAGCTAGCCTTGAACTCACAGCAATCCTCCTGCCTGTGTTCCCTGAGAGCTAGGATTAAAGGCGTGCACTGCTACATCTAGCTTGAGGTTCCTTCCTTCTATTGTTTATTGTCCAAAAAAGTATTCAGCCATCCCTCTACATGCATACATTCCCTCTCCTGTGTGTACTCGTAACAGAAAGAAGACACCAATGGATAGATCAATAAATTGATAGGGGGAAGACCTGGAGAGATGGCTCAGAGGTTAAGAGCCCTGGTTACTCTTCCAGAAGACCTGGGTTAAGTTCCCAGCAACCCCATGGCAGCTCACAACTGTCTGTAACTCCAGTTCCAGGGATCCAACACCCTCACACAGACATACATGTAGGCAAAACACCAATGCACATAAATAAAATGAGTAAAATATTTTCTAATTGATATTAGGGAGTGTCTGGTGTTTTATTTTGACACAGATATGGGGATGTACAACGGAAAAAATGGAGAGAAACTGAAACTTTTGTTAGTATTTGCTCTGCAGATGTTCTGGCTGTATTTAGTGCCTGCAGGTGGGCTGGTAGCATTGAGGAAGCACAACCATGGGTTACGAGCCATGTTCCCCATAGGTAGAGACATGGAGAGCAGCAGGGACACTTAGTGGATGTTCACTACGTCCAGGCTTTGTGCCAAGAGCTTTTATGTGCATCCATTTCACTCACTCTTTTTTCCTTCTTTATTTTCAAGTCAGGGTTTCTCTATGTAGCCCTGGCTGTCCTGAAACTCACTATGTAGACCAGGCTGGCCTCAAACTCAGAAAACTGCCTGTCTCTGCGCCCTGAGTTTAAAGGCATGTGGCATCACACCTGGCCCCCTTTTTTTTTTTTTTTTTTTTTTTTTTTTTTTTTTTTTTATATTTTGAGACAAGGTCCCCTAGAGCTTGGGCTGGCCTCACACTTAACATGTATGTGGGGCTAGCCTCAGACTCTTGATCCTCTTATTTCTCCGTCTGAAGCCCATGCCACCACATCACCTTTGAGAAGTGGTTTCCTTTACCTGTCGTCACAATGCTATTCTGTAGTTACTGTGGTGAGAGTGAGGGGTACAGATGGCGAATTTGGAGGAGCTGACTTTGGGAGCATGTGGCATTAAGTGAGCCAGCAATACACCCAGGTCTTTCTGACTCAAAGCCTGTCCCCCCATCCATGCTTCCGTCCATTCCGGGCAATGAGAAGGCGTATTGGAGTGTAGGAGGAGGCTGTGCTCAGGGACTGGTCCTGAGGGCTAATGGTGTTCCTCTGCATCTCCTCTTCCACTCTCAGGACCAGGTAGACCACCTGCTGGCCTTGAAGGTACAAGTTAGTTCCCTGAACTCGAAGCTGTCAGTACAGGAGAGGAAGCAGCTGCTGTCTGACCTGGAGCGAGACAAACCCCGGACCAAACTTTTATACATCACCCCGGAGATGGCAGCGTCAGCCTCCTTTCAGCCCACCCTGAATTCCCTCATGTCCCGAAACCTGCTCTCCTACTTGGTGGTGGATGAAGCTCATTGTGTTTCCCAGTGGGGACATGACTTCCGTCCTGACTATTTGCGTCTGGGTGCTCTACGTTCCCGATTGGCGCATGCCCCGTGTGTGGCTCTGACGGCCACAGCCACCCCACAGGTTCAAGAGGATGTGTTTGCGTCCCTGCACTTGAAGCAGCCAGTGGCCTCTTTCAAGACCCCCTGCTTCCGGGCCAATCTCTTCTATGATGTGCAGTTCAAGGAACTCATTCCCGACCTCTATGGGAACTTGAGGGACTTCTGCCTGAAGGCTCTTGGACAGAAGGCTGATAAAGGGGTGAGGTCTGGGGTGGGGATGCCTAAGTGCTGTCTGTAGCACAGACACAGCCGCTGTTTTCAAAGCCCTCTCTTTTTCTAGTCATTTTAGCCAGGCTCCTTAAAACCTGTGTACAAAGAGAGTTTTTCCTTTTCCCTTCCTCACTGGGATTCTGTGATCCCAGATCCCTGCGGGAACCAAGTGAACAGTCCTTGTGTGTTTGGCAAGCTGTACAGGGCTTCAGAGAGGAGGCAGGGGCGTTAGAAAGGCTGGGTTTTGGATCCTTAATTTTTTTTTTTTTTTTTTTTTTTTTTTTTTTTTTTTTTTTTTTAATGCTGGGTCTCACTGTGTAGCCCTAATATAGATTAGGTTGGGTTTGTCAGAGATTTGCCTAGTCTCTATTGCTGGGATTAAAGCCATGCACCACGATGTCAGGATTGGGCCTGCTTTTTTAAAAGTGATAGCCTAAGAGAACACTGGGACATTGGTGAGAGAGAACGTGGGGCTTTTTTTTTTTTTTTTTAAGATCTATGTGCATTGGAGTTTTTCCTGCATATATGTCTGAAGATGCTGGGAATTGAACCCAGGTCCTCTGGAAGAGCAACCAGTGCTCTTAACCCACTGGGCCCTCTCTCCAATCCAAGTGTGGGGCTTTTAAAGCAGGCTGTGCTCTAGTGAGTGGTTTGGTTATGCCATCCTTCCCTGATTCTTCTCTTCCCACCTCTCCCTGCTCAGCTGTTATCTGGCTGTGGCATTGTCTATTGTAGGACTAGAGAGGCTTGTGAACAAGTGGCCGTGGAGCTCAGCAGCAGGGGTGTGAACGCCAAGGCTTACCACGCAGGTAAGAGGCCAGGCCTCGCGGTCCTCTTCACTATTGCACGCTTCTTAGCACACCGCCTGTTCCTTAGGGAGCCTGCATGGCAGCGTGCTCTGTTAAAGTCCACTAAAAGGGGTCTACAAACGTGTGACTCTGGAATTCTTTCTTCTGCTCTCTGCCTACCCAGCAGACAAAGGCTTTTGTTTTTATGTGATTGGGTATTTTACCTGCAAGCTTGTCTGTGTACCACTTGCATGCCTAGTGCCCACAGAGACCAGAGGAGGATGTCGGATCCCCTGGAAATGGAATTCCACATGGTTGTGAGCTGCCATGTGGGTGCTGGGAATCAAACCCATCCTCTGGAAGGACAGCTGCTGCCCTTAACTGTGGAAGCTTCTCTTCAGCCCCAGTTGATTTTTTTGTGGGCTCGGGTGTTACAAAATAAAAAAAAAAAAAAAAAAAAAAAAAGACCACAGACTTTGCAGACCTATGGACTTAAGTTCTTGGCTCTCATGTTTACTGAATATAATCCCCAACTCATGGGCTAGGTTCTTTTATTTATATTTTTTTTATTTTTATTTTTTATTTGGTTTTTCGAGACAGGGTTTCTCTGTGTAGCTTTGGAGCCTATCCTGGCACTCGCTCTGGAGACCAGGCTGGCCTCTGCCTCCCCAGTGCTGGGATTAAAGGCATGCGCCACCAATGCCCTGCCTATTTTTGGTTTTTTGAAGCAGGATCTCACTGTATCTCTGGCTGTCCTGGGACTCACTATGTAGGCCAAGTTTTGAACCCAGAGATCCTCCTGTCACTGCCTGCCAAGTGCTGGACTTAAAGGCATTGTGTCACCACACCTGGTTGGCTAGTTCAGGTTCTGTGAGATTAAGCGCTTGGTTCATGGTCATATGGATAAGAAGTGATGAATTCAGGGTATGGGTTAAGTGTCCAGGACAGTGTCAACCCAAGATAACTCCTCATACCCCAAAGGTAAACCCAAGGGAACTGTGAGCTTTCCTTGACTACCTCCCCTCCTTTCCAGGGCTAAAGGCTCCCGATAGAACACAGGTACAGAATGAGTGGATGGAGGAGAAGGTTCCTGTAATTGTTGCGACCATCAGTTTTGGGATGGGAGTGGACAAAGCTAACGTCCGGTAAGCTCTAGTTCCTGCTTTATGTTCCCAGTTGGGGCTTGGCTTACAGTGGATTGCCTGGTGCTGTGTACAAAGTCCCAAGTCCATGTGCTTGTTTAGTGCCACTGAGGAGGTAGGCCACCAGGGGAATCCCTACAATATAGCCCGAATGCTGACAGTTTCGGGGTGGCCTGGTTCGGGGAACTTGGCAGTGTGCTGTCAGGCTGTCCATTAACAATCTGGTTCACACCCGTCTTTCAGGTAGAACTTCAAGGGGGCTGGAGCAAGTAACTTTCAGCCTCCCCAAGGGAGTCAAGTGAAGATCTTATTACCTGCACCTCATTACTGTTCATCCACAGTCTAGAACTAGGGTTCATCCTTGCCTGAGTTGCACTCTGGCAACTCTGGGAAAGGGTTTTACTTCCAGCCATGGTCTGACTTTGGGAAATCTTACACGGACTACTGCCTGGAGCCCTTTGTCCTCACACCAACAGTAGTGTGTTATATGATTTGCAGAGCACTTCTACATACATGCCAGTAGTCCCCATGCATGTCATTAATCCCCACCATGTCACCAGTGGGAACTGGTCACTGTAATCACTGGAATTGTACATTTGAAAAAACACAGACTGTGGAATCAGGAGTTGAGCCCTGGTCTGCTGTGCTTATTAGCAGTCAACTCTAAGCTTACACCCTTAGGCTCCAGTCCTAGCTCTGTTGTCCCTTCACTGGGTGTTCTCCTGCAGACTTGCCTCTCCGGTCTCCTTTGTCATGTCTACAGTAGGCTAGCTCTCATGATGGTGACTAACAGATGAAGCATGCAGTGGCTGACGCACAGTAGGTGTTTAATAATACCCTTGTGAGCCACTCAACATGGGTGCTAATAATTAACCCTGGGGTCCTCTACAAAAACAGTACAGTTCTTAACTGCTGAGCTGTCTCTCCAGCCTCTGATCTTTATTTATTGAGACAGGGTCTAACTGTGTAGGCGTAGCTAGCCTGGGACTCCCTATATAGACCAGACCAGGCTAGCTCCATACTCTCAGATGCACCTGCCTTTGCCTTCTGGGTGCTCTGGTTAAAGGTTTGCACCAACATGCCCAGCCTGTTTTCTGGTTTTTCAACAGCCCTGGCTGTCCTGGAACTCTTTGTAGACTAGGCTGGCTCGAACTCACAGAGATCCACCTCCCTCTGCTTCCTAAGTGTTGCGATAAAGGAGTGCACGACCACTGCCTAGTTTGCCTACCCTGTTCTTAAGTCTGGTATTTATTCTGCCCTCTGACTTTAAGGGTTTTGTTTTTCATTTTATGTGTGTGGGTATTTTGCCTGTATGTATGTCTGTGTACCACTGGTGTGCCTGGTGCCTACAGAGACCAAAAGAAGGGATTGGATCCCCTGTACCTGGAGTTAGAGAAGGTTGTGAGCTGCCATGTGGGTGCTGGGACTCGAACCCTATTCTCTGGAAGAACAGCCAGTGCTCTTAGCCATTAGGCCATCCCTTCAGGCCTGGCTGTTGACGTTTTGTTTTTGTTTTGGCCATATTTTAGAATGTCTTCCATAACTGGCACTGTGGCCTCTAAGCTGGGCTGCTCTATGCCAGAGAGGCCTGTTGAGGGGCACAGGTGTGTCTCACAGCCAACTCTGATGCACTCTGGGGTCTGTCTCTTGTTTTAGTTGCCCTGTCCCTGGCCACCGGGGAGTAAGAGCTTCTCCTGACAGGATGACTTCTCCCTGGAGCACCCCACTCTCCCATCATGGATCATGTCCTTTCGTATCCTACAGGTTTGTTGCCCATTGGAATATTGCCAAGTCCATGGCTGGCTACTACCAGGAGTCTGGCCGTGCTGGCAGAGATGGGAAACCATCCTGGTGTCGTCTCTATTACTCTAGGAGTGACCGAGACCAAGTCAGCTTTCTCATCAGAAAGGAGATAGACAAACTCCAGGTAAGTTCTGGGCAGTAGATACCCGTGTGTGTGAACCCACCACTCCGTTTCATATAGCTCCTTACTGAGCCCAGAGAGCGCGTCTGTAGACTAGAGGGCAGCATACCCAAAGGGAACTGTGTGTCTGTCTGGTGAGCAGGCTACTGGTGGCAAGCTGGGTTAGACTTCTCTTTGTCAATGTTTAGCTTACCTGAATATCATCTTGTATATGTGCTGTTAAATGTAGACAGACTCATTCCTGTCTTATTTCAGTGAGCTTTGTTACATAAGTGTTTTCACATGTTCACTGTTTTGTTTTCTTTAACCACTTAATTTTTTACTGGTTATCCAATTATTTATAGAAAGCCCAAAGCAGGCCTGGTATTGTTAGTACATGCTTTTAATCCTAGCACTCGGGAGGCAGAGGCAGATTGATCTCTGTGAGTTCCAGGCCAGCTTGGTTACAGAGCAAGTTCCAGGACAGGCTCCAAAGCAATACAAAGAAACCCTGTCTTGAAAAACAAACAAACAAACAAAGCCCAAAGCAGACCCAAACTAGAAAGGAATATGGTATATTATAAGTTACCAGGAAAAGGAGAGATTTGACTAGTCAGTGCTGGGAAAACATGGGTTCCTACATGATATGTGTATGAATTTTGAAGTATGAACTTCAAAAAACTATAAATAAGAGTAAAGTAGTTTATGTTCTTGGGAGAAGAAAAATCATCTCAATTTGTTTGTTTGGTTTGGTTTTTCGAGACAGGGTTTCTCTGTGTAGCTCTGGCTGTCCTGGAACTCACTTTGGAGACCAGGCTGTCCTGGAACTCACAGAGATCCGCCTGCCTCTGCCTCCCGAGTGCTGGGATTTAAGGTGTGTGCCACCAATGCCTGGCGACTTTTTTTTAATTACATGCTTTGGTGTGGTGTGAACACCACTACACACATGTGGAGGTCAAAGGACAGTGTGCAGAAGTCAGTTCTCCCCTTCACCATTTAGGTGCTGGGATCCATTTCAGCTCATCAACTTTGATAGCAGTCAAATCACATTTATCTGCTAAGCCATCTTGTCAGTGCATAACTCAAGATTTTTAAAAGCAAAACCCAGCTGGGCATGGTAGTGAACTCAGGAGGCAGAGGCAGGGATATTGAGCGTCAAGGCCAACCAAGGTTACATAGTGAGTTCCAGGTCAACCTATGCTGCATAGTAAACCTTGTCCCCCAAAAACCGAAGGGCTGGATGCATCTCAACAGTAGAGCTCATCGTACTGCACACTTGTGAGGCCAAGTTCAGTTCCCAGCACCACAGGAAACAAACAAGCAGATAGAAACAAAAACCAGAAACCAACCCCAATTTTGTGGTGTGTACTCACACTACAGCAGCTTATAGGGGAAGAAAGACACACAGCAGGGAGGCTGGGCTACTGTTGGCCCAGGGCTCCAGCCAGTCTAGCCAGTGAGAGTCAAGGGCAATGGAGGAGGCTATCCAGCATTGACCTCTGCCACCATCTGTTGATTCAATATGAGCAAAGTACATGCTACATGTGTAAGTAAATGTCACAAACTTGTCGTTTTTGCTAATGAATGTATGGCAATTTTAAAAACAGGAAAAAAAAGGGGTTGGAGAGTTGGCTCGGAGGTTAGGAGTCCTTGCTGCTCTTGCAGAAGACTTGAATTCTTATCTCAGCACCCATGTCAAGCGGCTCCCAGCCATATTTAACTTCACCTCAGAGGATCACCCTCTTCTGGCCTCCATAGGCACCTGCACACACACACACGTAAATGTTACAAACTGAAGGCAATTATTTCTGATCCCTACCCAAGTGATAGTAAAGGAATAAAAGAATAAACTCACAAGAGTAAGGAGAGCAGGGAGGGGAGAAGCAAGCAGGAGTGTCAACCAGAGACTGAGGGGAGAGGACAGCCTGTAATACACAGTGAGTTCAAGGCCAGCCTAGAAGACAGAATGAAACTGTATCTCAAAAAGCAAAACAAAAACAGAAAAAGAAAAGGCAAATGTCTGCCTAGAAAATCCTAATCAATAAGACTTCATTAAAAAACAAAACCTGGTTACTGGGGAGGGTTGGTGGGGAAGTAAGGGAAGTAAGGTGGTGGGGGTTGACGTGTAAAGCAGGCTTTTCCTATTTTGAACTAAAAAAAAAAACCCTGGGGTCAGAGATAGCTCAGTGACTTCGATCCTAGAAAATTCAGTGCCCTCTTCTGGTCTCTTTGGGCACTGCATGCACATAGTACACAGAAATAAATGAAGGTAAAACATCCATACACAAAGACAAGACACAGCAACACTCATAAACAAATAAACCTTTAAACACCTATGCAAAAATACACACAAAAACCTGGGTCTGCCGGGCATTGGTGGCGCACGCCTTTAATCCCAGCACTCAGGAGACAGAGGCAGGCGGATCTCTGTGAGTTCGGGGCCAGCCTGTGCTCCAGAGCCAGTGCCAGGACAGCCTCCAAAGCTACACACAGAAACCCTGTCTCAAAAATTAAAAAAAAAAAAAGATGACTTAAAAGTTTAGGGCACTTGCTGCTCTTGCAGAAGACCCAGGTCCAACATCCAGCACCCATATGGTACTCACAGCCATCTCTAACTGTATCTTCAGGGAATCTGATACCCTTTTCTGGCCTCCAAGGGCACCAGGAGTGTGTGTGGTGCACAGATATACACACAGGAAAACAGTCATCTGTGCTGGGGAGGTGGCTCCAAGGGCAAGAAAGCCAGAAAGATAGATGGGTCCTGGCCTGGAGCAAAGCCATAGATGCTGCTGCAAGTGGAAGGCTCAAGAAGGTTTTCAAAAATCAGATTGACCATCTTGGGCTCCCATGGAATTGAGTTATTTGTTACGTCAGAGCATTCAGGGAGAACTAGTGATACTGAACTCTAGAGAAGTCAGGGCAGGGAGAAGCAACTGTTTCTCAGAGGAAACAGTGCTATATGGAAAAGGAAATGTAATACTGTAATCCTGTGGTTAAGCTTGGAACTGTGTTGACATAGCCATAATGAGGAAAAGACTGCTATCACAAGACATTTGGGGCTACAGGTACAGCTTTGTGGTTGAACTCTTGCCTAACGTGCATGGATAAAGCCCAAGTTTAATCCCCAGCACTGCACATAAATAATATTGCTGGGGTTTGAACCCAGGTTCTCATACATGCTAGGCAAGTACTGTGTCACTGTGCTAGATCCCTAGCTAACGTTTTTTTGTTTGTTTTTGTTTTTTGAGTGATGGCAGTGCACACCTTTAATCCCGGCACTCAGGAGGCAGAGACAGGCAGATTTCTGTGAGTTAAAGGCCAGCCTGGTCAACAGAGTGAGTTCTAGGACAGCCAGGACTGTTACACAGAGAAACCCTGTCTTGCAAAACCAAAGTAAAGAAACAAAACACAACAACATCAACAAACATGGGGCTGGAGAGATGGCTCAGTCGTTAGGAGTCCTGGCTGCTCTTGCAGAAGACCCTGGTTCAATTCCCAGGGCAGCTCACAACTACTTATAACTCCAGTTCCCAGGGAACTGATGCTTTTCTTGTCTCTAGGCACCAGGCACACAAGTGGTGCACCAACATACATGCAGGCAAATCACTCGTACACATTAGTTAGAAAATAAATACAAACTTTACTGTTTTTATGTATGTGAGTGGTGCTTCAGGAGGCCAGGAGAGGGCATCCGATCCCTTGGAACTAGAGTTACAGATGGCTGTGAGATAGTGCGTGGGTGCTGGGAACTGGACTCTGGGTGCTCCACAAGAGCAGTGAGTACTCGTAACTGCTGAGCCATCTCTGAACCCTAACCCTTTTTAGATTAACATACAAAGTAATGGCTTCATTGTTACTTCTTCACAGTCATAGCCTGCTTATTTTTATGCTCTCAGTACCTTTATTGTGGCCACTCCCCATCAAGTGTGCATTTTTGTGTGTATATTTGGGGGGGTTGTTGAATGTACCACTTGTGTACCTGGTTCCCAAGGAGGCCAGAAGAGGGGTGGATCCCCTAGAAATGGAGTTACAGATGCTTCTGAGCTACCATGTGGGTGCTGGGGTTTGAATCTAGGTCCTCTTGCAAAAGTAGCCATGCTCATGACCACTGAGCCATCTCTCCAGCCCCTCTAAGGTGAGAACTTTTTCTTATTTTATATTTATTTATGCCATGAGTACATTTGGAGGTCGGAGAACACTTTTAGAAGTCAGGCTCAGTAGCAAGTGCCTACCCAGTAAGTCATCTCACTGACCCTCAGTTGATATTTTAACTTTTGGCAATAGATACAGAAAGGGCCAATAACGCACAATCTTATCTGCCGGAGGCTAATAGTTTAGGTTGTATCCTCTGGTATGTACATTAGCATATGTGTTCATATATGTGGAAGGACTCAACCCTGTGTTCACTGTTTAGAACTGGGTAGAATCATAGTTTCCCTAATGTCGGTCCAGGGGCCTTTGCATGAGAATTGCTGTTTTTGGAAAGGTGCTCTCTTTGGCAGCTCTCAAATACTCCCATCCCAGTGCGTACAATGCAGTGGCAGAGATGCTGACTTACTGGCAGGCCCGGGGCCCAGGGGCATCCACTGCTTGCTGAATGCTGGCCTTTCATGTTTTCTCTATTGATAGCACAGGCTGTGACTCTGGGGGACTGAGTGGCTGTTTCTCTCGGCAGGAAAAGAGAGGGAGCAAACCATCTGATAAAGCCACCCTGCTGGCCTTTGATGCCCTGGTGACCTTCTGTGAAGAACTGGGGTGAGTGGGGCTGGGAACGCAGTGCAGCTCAGTGGTAGAGCAAGCATTTGTGTAGCAGGTGCAGGACCCTGTGGTTAATCCCTGCATTGCTTGCTTGCTCCTCTAGGGAAAGAAAGAGCATTTCCTCTCCCACCAACCATTACTTTACCAGCTGATGCAAGCTAGCCCTTGGGCCACCCAGGGTTCCCTGCTTGCAAAGCTCATATTTCAAGCCTTGTGGAAGTCAGGACCCTTCCTTTTTACTTCTGGGGGCCACTGAAACTCAAGCTCTTGTGTGAGGAGTTGTTCCACATTGGCGTAGTCATCCACTCCTCCACCTACTTCATGGACGGTTGGCTGGCTGTGTGAGCAATTCACTGCAGAGCAGTGTGGCCAGCTCTGGTCACTGCAAAGCAATGTGGCCAGCTCTGGTCACTGAACTGGCTCTTTTGACTGAGTGTGAGTCACTCACACTCTTTGTTTGCTTCTGAGATGGGGGTCTCAGGTAACCTAGGCTGGCCATGAGCTTGCCATGTGTTAGAGACTTGCCTTGGACTCCTGGTTATCCTGACTGCCTCTGCCTCCCGTGTGTTCGGATTATAGGCATGTGTCACCACACCTGATGAACTGTTCTTATTTGTACACAGAGCCCCAACGGAAGCTTCAGGCCGGCTCATATCTGGTGTTGGGGGGAGGGTGTCACATGCTTTGGGTAAATCAGCTCTTCTGACAGAACACTACCTGCTTATGTGAAGCCTGCTTACCTATTTTGTCTATGTCTGTGGCAATGGGGCAGAAGCTGTGGACCAGCCATGGAAAGATACTTAGCTACTCAGTGACAAGTTGTGGCAGGGCATGTAGTCACAGTAGAATCCTATGTGAAGGATGCCAAAAGGAGTCAGTCTATGTGGAAAAACACATTCGTTCATTCATTCATGTGGAAAACTGAGAGCTGATGAGTGAGCCAAGCCAGACAGGTCATGATCACAAAACTCAACAGAGTTTTGTAGCCAAGCTACTAAACTTGGGCTCCTTGATTCTCACAGTGGATGTGCTCATTTCGTACCGGGGTCACAGAGTCTTTGGGGGAGTAGGGACATCTGTTTTTGTGGTGTTGAGGATTGCACCCAGGATCTTGTGTATGTTATACAAGCCCTCTACCATTGAGTTACACTCCTGCCCCAAATGTCTTGAAGCAGAGTGCTGCTGAGTAAGAACATAGCACTGGTGTCTACAGATGTGTTTAGTTAGACACTCCTGAAGACGGGAGGGGGTGTCTACATTTGGATTCTCAGTCTCTCTCTTCACTGGTGACTTGGTGACACAGATTGGAATATTTCCTTCTGGAAATGGCATCTCTAATTTGGCCTGTGTGGCAGGGTCACTTGCAAAAAAGTTGTGTGTTGCTGTTCCAGGCCCACCCTTGGCTAAGCCCATTCCACCACTGATGTAAATCAACCTACTTGGGCTCTGTGAGCTGAGCCCTTCATGGGATACATGAAAGAACCGAGTGTCCCTGCTAGTTGTCAGTCTCCTTGCCTCCCAGTTGAGACCGCAGCAGACCAGGTCCACATAGGGCCTTGATGGGCTAGCTGAGAGCATACATCTGTGGGACCACCCACCCTCCCCCAGTGCTCAGCCCCACAACTCTTGTCTTGTTGGCTGCAGGTGGGTTCTCATCTCAGGACCTTGCTGGCACAGCTCTGTCAGCACTGCTCACTGAGAGTGAGCGTTGATTGTGGGAACAGTGCCTGGCACGAGGGAAGAAACCCCCTTTCCACAGATGGCTGTTACTTTTCTAAGAATAGTTCTGGTTTGAGGCTGAAATTGAGGCGACTGTTGCCACCAAGCTCCCTTAAGCAGGCACCTGGCAGAGAGGGATAAGACCAGTGGGGTGGGCTCAGCTGTTGGGGACATTTCTGAAGGAAGCCATTGTAGGGTTGTGGTGTGTAGGGTAGGATATGGGCAGTGGCCTGGCGTCGCCAGAAAAGGTAGTCAGGTCCCTTCCCAACGCGGCCAGGGTGGGGCTGCCAGTGGTTTTTACCTTGTCTCTGCCGTGTAGCCATCGTCTCAGAGCTGGGCTCATGGCAGGACTTTAATCATTCGGCTTGAAATAGCAATTTGGGCATTTGGGATGGAGAGGAGTTTTGCCTCTGGTCTGGGTAGGATTGTCTTGTGGACTCTCTGGAGTTAGGAGCTCAGCTGCTCCGCATCCTCGTATATCCATCCGACGGTGTGCTCATTTTGTTTTGCCCTTTTGTTCCGCCAAGCACAGAGTGTGGGCCTTGTCTCATTGGGAAATACTGTATACTTAAAATACATAATTGCTAATGAATGGGCTTTGAAGAAAAAGTCCATGGTGGTTTTTGTTTTTTCTTTTCTAAAATGTGTGTATGAGTGTTTTCCCTGCATGTATGTCTGTGCTCCACATATGTGCCTGGTGCCCACAGGGGCCAGAAGAGGACAGTGGTTTCCCTGGAACTGGAGTTACAGATAGATGCGAACCTCCACATGGGTACTGGAGATCGAACCTGTGTTCTCTGCAAGAGTGCTCTTAACTTCTCTTAACTACCCCTGAGAGTAACAGATTTCCCCATCCCAGTCTCGGGTCAGAGTCGGGGAAAATTTGAGAAAGACAGGTTTAGTCTGGGATCTGGAAGACAAGGAAGCACCTGGCAGGCAGGCCATGGGGTGTGATGTGGTAAGACAGTATCCAAGTCGGGAATATACGCAAAAGCCTCTGGGCAGGAGAGGCAGAGCAGTTTAGGAACTGAAGTTATACTGTGAATCCAGGGGCACTTGGCAAGCATCTTGTGAGCCGGCTTCTCCTGCCTATAGTAGAGCAGACCCCTGAGGAGTTACAGGCCTTGCTGAGAGGTTTGCTAGAGAGGCAGGCCCTGAGAGCCATGTCTGCGTAGAAAATAAGCCCACATTAGTGGATTTGAAAAGGAATTTTTACTTCATCTGACATTTTATGTCCTCTCTGTCAGGGACTTGCAGAATTGCTGCCTGGGCAGAGAAGCTCATTAGAAGATCTTGTTAGCCGTTGCTGCTCTCCCTTGAGGTGGAGCAGAGTCCCTCTCCATCGCTTGCAGTGTTAGCTGGTGGTCGGGTGGGAGAGCCAGAAACGGTGTCAGACCAGCCTTCCCATCTTGCTCTTTGACCAATCCCTGAGCCAGATCTAGTGGCTCACATAGATGCCTTCTTGAGCCTGAGGGACTGGAGAGCTCCTGCTGGTGTCAGGGGCAGTAGGTCAGCCCGTCTTTCCCTGCTGCCCTCTAGGCTTCAGGGAGTCAGATCAGTGCTCTTTGTACAAAATCTTTTCCACATGCCCAAACACAATGGCAAATAGGATGAACAAAAGGAATGTGGAGGTGAATAAGCCAATCACTATCAGGCCCCCGACGTCCCAGGGGTTATCCCAGAAGTCACCATTCTGGGTTCTCTTTAGGGTTAGCATTTGGCCCATGTAAATCTGGAAGAGAGGAGACAGAGGCCCTGAGTACAGAGAGCTCTGAAATCCTTGCCCGGCATTGCTCTCCATGCCACTTCCCTGGACCTCTGTGCAGTAGCACTGAACAGCTGGATAAATCTGGCTAGCCACACTCAGGGCTTTCCTGCTTGGAAGCTGTTGGGGGCTGCAGCGGGGTGGGTGTCTCTGACTCATTCTGACGAACTCTGCTGTGAGCCAGGAGCTCCCCCCCCCCACCTTCCTAGCTAGAGCCTCAAATGTGCCCCTGTAGGTTTCCCCCTATTTTTATTGTCCCATTGGCCAGGTGTTTGAGAGGTTCATGTAGCAGCCCAGCTGGGAATGAGGGTGCACTGAAGTCTCAGCTCCTCAGGAGACAGAATTCATGCTTGAGCCAAGGGATTCCAGGCCAGTAGGGAACAGCTATCCAGTCTAAAAAAGAAGATAGGTGGAGCTGGAGAGATGTCTGCTCAGCAGTTAAGAGCACTGGCTGCTCTTGCAGGAGACCCAAATTCGGTTCCCAGCACCCATGTGGCAGCTCACAGTAATTCATAATGCCAGTTCCAGGGTACCCAATACCATTTTTAGCTTCTGAGCCTACCAGGAATGCATGTGTGGAGATACATGCATAGAACACACAGACACAACTCACATGCTCTCTCTCTCTCTCTCTCTCTCTCTCTCTCTCTCGCACACACACACACACACACACACACACACACACACACACACACGTGGTGGTGGATAGGAACAGAGTGTGGGTGAGGCACTGTCCTTAGAGACAGCTGGAAGCAGGAGACCTATCCATACTGGTGTCAATAGGCTGCATCGAGTTGAAAGAAATATAGGGAGAAAAGAAAGCCATCGTTACCCGGTTCTTGTACTGATAGTTTGTGTCTTAGAGGGCAAAGGCAAATCAGGACTGTCCCTCAGGCCTCACACTTTGGGGTTCCCAGGTGGAAGAGGCTGCAGGTAACCACAGCTGTTTAGCACCTCAAAGAAATGACTGTTGGCAGCCCAGAGCATTGCCAAATATCTCTGACCACACCTTTGCTGCTGCCACCAGAGCAAACAAAGGTGGTCTAGACTGGTTGCCTAGCAACTGACTGCCACACCCTCATTCCCTTCAGCAGTGTTCTGCCCTTTTGTGATGACATTGTGGAGTTGCTCAAGACATAATGTAAATTGTCCTTGATAGAAGTCAGACTCAGTTAGGGTGAGAGGAGAGACTGACTGTGATCCCAGGCCAACTGTCCACCTTGCCTATGTACAGCTGGGTCTCAGTTCTCGTCTGTTTGTCCTGGTGACCTCTTAGGAAGTTATTCCTTTTTGTGGTTTGGGTGAATGATTAACTACAGCTCTGGCAGGAGGCTCCTGGGACAAGTTTCTGGGTGGGAGTGCTTATCACCATTAAAGCCTTCCTCTGTCCTGTCTGCCTCAGACACACGGCCTCAGCTGTGTAGTGTGGCTGGTTCCCACCCCCTGGTTAGAGAGAGAAGAGGAGGGCATTAATCAGACATGCTTTGCTTGAAACTTGATGGCCACTGTTGATTCCTTTTAACGCTTAGATGCGTGGACCTGACACTGCCAGGCTTTACATGCCATCATAAGGTAAGAGACAGAGGCCTTTCCTCCATCAAGGCTCATGTTCTAGCCCACTGTAATCCTGCTGTTAAAGTTGTGAGAAATGCCCATTGACATCAGTTTGTGGAATTCTGGCCTCTCTATTGCTCAAGTACCCCACCCCCTTCACCCACGGCTCTGCAAATAGCCTTGAGTGGTTGATAGGTGACAAGCAAGTTCAGGAAGCTGAACTGACCCATGGTTTGCCTGTTGCTTTCCATGCCCTTGTGTAAAGCTTGCTGACTTCCTGGCTTGCTGAATGCACACGGCCAGCGGGCTGGTCTCTGGCACACCCTGGTACTTTTGTGCCTATCTGTTAAATCAGGTTCTTGTCAAGAGTGAGATGTTTGTTCACAAACCAGTTTATGGTGGTCGTATGTTTGTTTCTGTAACTACAAAGTTGAATGTGATGTCGTATAAACACACGAAGCAATGACGATAGCCACAACTCCAGCTTTACAGATAGACAGTGGCCACAGAAAGGCTAAGCAACTTCCTCAGGGCTGTGCAACTGGAGTTTGGAGCTAGCTGTACAGCCTGAGTTTCAGGCCCTATACCTTAGAGCAGATAAACCTATTGTCTCTATTAATACCTATGTGGCCACTTTTATATCACTCCATATTCCCATCAAAAAAAGCACAAACATAGCTAAACTCTGGGCATATTTTGTAAAACTCACAACATTAAACTTTTTAATGCATTTTGTATATGTGCATGTATGTGCATGCCATGGCCTGTGGGTGGGGGTTAGTGCACCACTGTGGAAATAGGCTCTCTAACGTGTGGGTCCCAGGGAACTGAATTCAGATATTCGGGTTTAGTGGCAAGTGCCTTTACCTACTCCTTTGTGGTGACATTTTACATTCAGGTTCTTCAGATGTGTTCACACTCTTGCTCTAATGAAACCAAAACTACAAAGTAAGGCTGGAGCGGAGCTGGTCTGTAGCCCATCCTCAGAGAGCAAGCCCCACCTGAGAGGTGTGCCTGTCTGTTCCCACCTCAGATCATGTAGGCTGGAGGGCGGGCCCTGCAGGTACTGGGAGCATTTGTGATCTTTCAGAAGAACTGGGTGCAGTGCCCAGCTTTCACGTAAGGTGGCCCCAACTGCCTATAATTCTAGTTCAAACAACTCACACAAATACATATTATGTTAAATACAAAGGAAACCAGCCTGTGGTGGCACGCCTTTAATCCCAGCACTCAGGAGGAGGGGGCGGTAATGTTTGAGTTCAAGGCCAGCCTGGTGTACCAAAGTGAGTTTTAGGACAGCCAGGGCCACACAGAGAAATCCTGTCTCAAAAAACCAAAACAAAAAACAAAGCCCTGCTAGACATGGTGGCACATACCTTTAATTGTAGCACTCGAGGGGTAGAGGCAGGTGCCTCTGTGAGTTTGGGGCCAGCCTGGTCTACGTAGTGAGTTCCAGGCTAACCAGAAATAAATCTCTCAAAACAACAAAGAATCAGATATGTGGAGAGAACCTGTCATTCACAGGAAGGTTGCTTTGTCAAGTTTTGATTGTCCAAGTAGATAGATCTGTTGTCTCAGTCCCTGTGAGGGAAACAGGTGAGAGCAGGAGGGGGAGCTGCAGGCCCAAGAGGTCTGTGTGCCGAGGGTTCCTCTGGGAGGAAATGATGGGAATTTTAAAGACTTGAGCCCTGGCCACTTTTCCAGAGGACCCAGATTCAATTCTCAGCCCCCCATGGTGGCTCAGAACTGTCTGTCACCCCAGTTCCAGAGGATCTGACACCCTCTTCTGGCCTTCTCAGAGAAGAGGCATGCATGTGATTCACTTACATGTATGTAGGCAAACAGTCACACATATAAAAACAAACCAATCTTTTTTTAGGGACAGTATTCCATGGCATGGAACAGGGTGCAAAGAGGAGGAAAACTTTTTTTGTTTGTTTGTTTGGTTTTTGAGACAGTTTCTCTGTGTAGCTTTGTAGACCAGGCTGACCTCAAACTCGGAGATCTGCCAGCCTTTGCCTCCCGAGTGCTGGGATTAAAGGTGTGTGCCACCAACGCCTGGCATTGTGCACATATTTTATGATATGAAATTTGTAATACCCATTTGTGTCATGATTTTTGTTATAAATTGTTTTGAAAATATTAACATTTCACAAAACTTGTCTATGCTCTGCCAAGTGTTGCTGATATGATACTCACTTTGGTTTTGTAGTCTGTAATGAGGCATAAAATGCAGACAGCGAACTGGGCAGCTCCTTGTCCTCCTGAGGGAACAGAGTCTGAGTGAGAGGGATGGCCTTGAGGAGGCTGGCGAGACCTGTGCTGGTCACTGTGCACTGAGACGGCTTGTTCTGGAATGGCCTAGGGAGTCAGTCAGTGGACCTTCCTGCTGTTTGCCATGCTCACCAGCTGTCCTCTGGCAGCCCAGGTCTGCAGTGACTGTTTCCCACAGTGGGAGACATCTGCTTCCTCCAGTGAAAGTGGACCAGATCCATCCCAGGGTATGCAGGCTGCTGTTGGTCAGCTTATAGGACAGGCTGGCCTGGCATGGGGCAGGAAGGTACAAGCGAGCTGGCTACTTAGGCTGTGTCCAGGGTGGTCCATGGTATGTCCCCTCTGCTCTGCCACTGGACTGGGAACCACACTCTTCTAGCAAAGCCTCAGTCTTAGGCACCCTACAGGAAGGCTATTCTAATGCTAATGGAATCCTGCTAAAAGAGGATTCCGGAAGAACTGGGATGCTGTTCCTGAGCTGAGTGCTTCCAGGGCCTTCCAGCCAACCGAGCTGGGGTGAGAATGCAGGGTTGCCAGTCCCTTCTACGTCCCTGGGGTTTTCTCCTGATGGGTGTTAGATTCCCACCCACTCATACACAAACAGTTTGGGTGTGGGTGCTTGGACGTAGGGTTGGTTAATGGAGATAATGGAGTCAGCTCCTTCTGCCTTGTGTCCCAGAGGCCTCAAGCCCTAGGTGTGGTGAGCAGGGTGTCTGGAGCCAGACAGGCTGGACCCAGAGCAGGCTTTGCCACTTTTTAGCTGGCTGCACTTGGAAAAACTATCTAGTGTCACTGAAACCAAACGTTAATCCATCTCACTAGAAGGAAGCCTCGCTTTAAGAGGATTGGGTTACAAAGCTGGCAATTGTCAGCCGAGGGTGTGAGCACACAAACAGGGACAAACCAAAGGGTCAGGGTACAAGGATGATAGACTCAAGAAAACTGGGAGGATCCAGTGACCTGAGACTGGAAATTAAGACAGCAAGAAATGTTAGTGGCACCTGTCCTACAGCAGTGACCTCCGTCACAAAACAGGGTGGGACTCTGGAAGCAGCACTTAGATGATGCAAAATAGAAATGTTGCCCCTCCACTGGTTCCATGGCATTCCTCCCCATGTGATTTTCCAGTTTTCATGGTCACATGGAGAGCAGTAACCTGGAAAGAACAGTCATTGGCCATGCCCCTGGAATTCTATCACTGCCCTCCTGATGCACAGAGCACAGCCCGTGCATAAACACATAACCAAACACCTCATAAACACATAACCAAAAAAGCTTTACTTGGAAGTTAGCAAATTTCAGCTAGAATACTGACATGTCCCCCTCCCCCTCAGCAGGAGGCTTGGATTGTAGTACATTGCACAAAGTCCCTGGTTAGCTTACTTCTCTTTGGCATAAATCAGCAGAGCCCCAAGGGCCAGCTCCCCACAACTAAAGTAGGGGCTCCTAAGAGGTACAGCTTAGCTGAAGACCCCAGTGGTTTCCTGAGTCTTTGAAACAGCCGGCTCCTCCTGAGCACTGCTGCCCCCCAGCAGACTGAGCAGTGCTTGCTTGTTTCCTTGATAAGGTTCCAGGTGTCTGCCCTGCCACCTGGGCAGTGCTGTAACTGAGGCCAGGTGGTCTGTCTGGAGGAGTGAAGTGGCCAGAATGACAGCCTGTGTCACAGTTCTGGAAGGCTCCTGTCCAGTTCCTCTTTTGGGCATCTCACTGTTGTCTCTCATCTGGTTCTTATTGTCATCACGGCGACCTTCCTGGCTCTCCTCTCAGGGCAACAGCAGTGCACACAGCAGTAGCTGCAGGCTAGTAGCATCAGCAGCAGGACTGTAGCTGAAAGGAGAGGACGGCCCAGAGCCGAACAGTCAGAGGAAGAAGGGACACTCACCCTCCTTCTACAAGACCACCCCCCTAGTCTGGAGCAGTGGTCACAAGTCCTGAGAGGCTGACAGGTCCTGTTTGTCTCTTGCTCCACTGTCCAAGCCTGACTCCTTTCAATTCATGGTTGACACCTGGTACCCAGTTCCAGCACTGCCTAGCAACTCAGGGGATGTCAGAGTGTGGCATCTGTCTTAGCTTCCCCCAGGACACTGCTCTCCCTACCTTCCAGCCAGCACCATGGCTTGCCCTCCCCAGTGTCAGGAGGAGCCCATGGGACACTGAGGAGTCAGGGCTAAAGGGCCAGAGGACAGGTGCCCTACTTGCCTGTGAAAAGAATGATGATAGAGAAGGCCACAACCTCCACGGGATCAGCCTGGGGCAGTCCTCGAAGTTTCAGCAGCAGCCTCTCAGTCACAGAGCGGATCTCCTCCTCAAAGTCTGTGGCTGCCATGTTGCCAGGGCTCCTGTGTTCTGTAACAACACAGACAGAGCACCTCAGAGTCCCTGGCGAGCTGATCACAGGCTGGGAGGCAGCTCCAGTGAACCAGCCTCTCACCACAGCCTGCAGAACAGGTTTGTCTGTCTCACCCCTGTACCACTGGTGGATCCCAGGCAGAGGGAGACAGGGAGTCCGGAAGGCTGTTCCAAGATACAGTAGCCCTCAGCCCACACTTGGCTGGAGCTGCCCAGGGCAAAGAAAACTTGTGACAGATGTGACTAGAACCTCTGAGGGGCTACCAGACAAGGCCACAGCTGGTGAAGGCTCTGCCCATCAGATGTGACTTTGCTGTCACATTCCTTTGTCTTGAGACACAAATATCAGGTTTGGCTAGGGTGCCTCAGCTGACACAGCTCCCTGGCCAGCCTCTGGGTCATTCAGGATTTTGGTGCCTCCCCTAGATGCCCTCAGGGTGGCAAGACAGGCCTCAGGATTCTGTGTGGGAGAAGAATCAGACTCCAGGAACAGGTTTATGGGGACTCAAGCTGGGATCAACTGTAGGCAAAAACTGAAGGAGGGGTTGTCACTTGAAGGATATGAAGCTGAGTCCCCAAGAACTCTCCCTCCTCTCCTACCAGGCCAGTTTCTTTATTCATTGTCATGTAAGGAAGAAAGGACCATATATATAGTATTCCAGGGGATGGGAGGCATCTCTTTTATTCCAGTGGGAGCAGGAGTTTTAGAACTGGCTCAGCCAACTCTCCCTCCTGGTTTCGGCAGGTTCTATTCTAACCAGAAAAGGCCTGATTGGAGAGTGATGATGGTCCAAGGGCTTCCAAGAAGGCCTAGACACAGCTCCCAGCTGAGTGTGTGCTGGGGCCATTGACTATCAGCCCCTCCCTCCCCTTGCGTCTCTCCTGTGAGTGAGAAGGGACAGGATAGCCTTGTATCAATACATCCAAACCGGATCTTCCCAAGGGCTGGGAGCAGGTGACCAGGGGCTTTTGTCAACACCTTGGCCCTGGTCTCATCTGGGCAGGCTGTCCCCTCTGCTGTGGTCTGTGAGACTGGTGCCTCCCAGCACTCCCACTTGGCACAAAGCAGGCCTAAAACTACCTTGAAGGTCTGGGATACGCCATCCTACATGTGGGCTCTCTGCCCTTGTGCAGCTGCTGCCCGAGTCTCTGAGAGTGACAGGCCCTGGCTGCCTACGGCTACCCCCTGTAGAAGGCCAGGCCCTTGCCCACCTCCAAGGAATCCTACTTAGTCCCTCAGGCCCTTCTTCCCTAACAGTTCAGGAACTGGGTCACAGCTGCCAGCCACTTGGGTTTCCTTTCTATAAAGTGCATGGTGCCTTCTTTTTTTTTTTTTTTTTTTGAGACAGGGTTTCTCTGTGTAGCTTTGTAGACCAGGCCTGCCTCTGCCTCCCAAGTGCTAGGATTAAAGGCATGTGCCACCACCACCAGCAGCTGCCTTCTCTGAATTTGTTGTTCATGTTTTCATTTTTGTGCTGCTGGGCCTTATGCTAGGAAAGTACCACATCCCCAGCCCTGTGGTACCTTCTCTAACTTCATCTGCCCATCATAGAAATGGTTTTTTTGTTTGTTTTTCAAGACAAGGTTTCTCTGTGTAGGCCTGGCTGTCCTGGAACTGGCTCTGTAGACCTAGCTGGCCTCAAACTCAGGGATCTTCCTGCCTCTGCCTCCCATTTTGGGATTAAAGGCATATGCCATTACCTCGTCCTGTCTTAACCCTTACCCCTCTTGTACCATGGACAGGCTCTTTATCTCTGTGTTGTTAAGATGAGACACTTGGGGGGGGGGCAGGGTGCTGGCTGCAGGAACTTTTGCTGAGTGGGGACTGACAGGGCCAGGAAAGTCAAGAATGACCCAGCCATTGTCCTCCTACCACCCATACACTTTCTGGAGGACTGTTTGGCTTTAAGCAGCAACATAAGACAGCACAACTGAGTCCCCGAGTCACAGACCATATGAACCAACCCATAGCTCTTTGGAAGCCCGTGAGCTGCACACACTCAATACCACCTCTTGTGGGACTGGGGCGTCAACTTTATGTGTTCATCACTACCAGAGTGGGGTTTTTTGAGAGCTGCATGTGTTATCTGTCACTAAATGAATAGATCTATGTGTCCTGCTGACGTGAGCATAAGAATGTTCCTTCTGGTCAGACCAAAGGAGATGCCGCCTCTAGCCAGTTGCAGCATGTTTGCAACAGTGATCCATCCACTCTCCTGTCCTGGGACATCATTACCACCCCACAGAAATGGTGCGCATATGGTTCAGAACCAGGGCTGTTGCCTCTTACCCTCCCTCTTCATGTGTTTGCTCTGGCTTGTTCAGCCTGACTGGCACTGTGCCCACATTGCCTCACGAGCCCAGTGGAGACACTCCTTAAAAGCAGAAGCAGGCAAGAGGTTGGTGGTCAGGAGAGCTTTCTGTGTGCCACACCCAAGGACCTAGAGAGAGACAGTGGGGGGGCACCTGCTTGGCAGGGTTGGCAGTTTCCAGAGCAGGGCAGAAGCCAGTGGCTCGGGCTGGACCTGCTCTGCAAGGAAGTCAAAATTTGTTGATAAGAAGTTCCAGCTATTAGAGTTCCTCCCAGCTGCTCCCTTGCCTTCTCCCACTCTCCCTTCACTCTGCTTGGCTTGTGAGGCTGGAGAAGTGCAGACTCGTGCCCAGCGCAGCTGAGCTCTCCTCTGTCAGAGCGTGGGCAGCCTCGCAACTCTGTGCCTACAGCTTCTGTAGGCAGCCTACTGGAAGCTAGGTGGGACCTGACCACTGTACCAGCCCTGGGATGTGGCCTTGGACTTCCTGCCAGGTTTTGCCTGGTTTACCAGCAGAAGTGGGGCTACTGGGCATGGTTCTCTGCCCTCAAAGGGCCAAAGAGGAACCCTCTTTTCCTGGCAATTGATATTTTGTTATTTTAAGCTCTGACCAACAGAACAAGCACATGACAGAGGGGGGAGCAAAGGGGTCTTGTTCTCCAAAAAGGAAAGAGGCACATTCCGGCAGCTTCCCAGGCGTCTTCCCAGTGGGCTATTTAAAGCAGAGCCAACAGATGCCTGGTGCCCAATATAACCAGTGGTTAGTAGGTGACCTTGTTCCCCAGCTATGGTCAGGGGCAGTGGGAGCTTTGGGGCTGGCCCCTGTTGACTGGGTACCACCCTAGGTTTGGGGGACACTGAGCAGAAATACTGGTAATTCTTTGTTTTCTGGACTTTTATCCCAGGGCCACCTACTCTTTCTAGACCATACTTTATGCCCAAGAGTTGGGGGTCCAGAGTGTCTCTTCATACCATGTTCAGTAGAACAAGTGCTAGTTTCCTCTGGAGAACAGTCCTGGCTGCCACTGAGCCCACTCATTACCCAGACCATCTGCACAGCACTTGGAACCTTCTGAGGCTGCTCCTGGCTGGAATACAGGCAGTGGTCAGGGAGAGCTAGCACACAGAGAAGGAAACTGGCCTGGCTGGGGGAGACTGCCTAGCGCTCCTTTGTGTGGCAGGTGGCATTGAGGTCCTTGCTGTAGAGTAAGCGCCCATCCATAGGCCAGACTACTGCAACTCAGTTCCACAGCTTCTGTGCTTCTTCATTGTGAACCTGATAGGCAGCTCCAGCTGCCACATGGACAGGGCAGGCAATGTGTCTATGCCTGATAAGCAGTGCCACTTGTCACTGATGGCTTGCATCCCCAAAGGGCATCTTGCTGTGCCCTGCTGCTTGGTCATGGTGGCTCTCCGCCACTTGTCACTGATGGATTGCTGCCCCAAAGGGCATCTTGCTGTGCCCTGCTGCTTGGTCATGGTGGCTCTCTGCCACTTGTCACCGATGGCTTGCTGCCCCAAAGGGCATCTTGCTGTGCCCTGCTGTTTGGTCATGGTGGGTCTCCGCCAGTTGTGCCCTGCAGCATCTTGTCTTGTTTGAGAAACGTCTTGAATGAGGTACAACCAACAGATGAGAGACCTGAGGGTTCCAGAGGCCTGACCGCCAGGGTGGAGATGCCCACCATGTACCATTCTGAGTATTTGAGTGACTCCATCTCTGTGGGGCTCCAGTTGGAAATCAGAAGTGGGTGTTTGAAGCCTCTGCAGTCCTGCTGCCCTGGCCCCCGAGCTTTCCAGAACAGGTGAAGCTCTGGTTCCCAGTAGAAATGAAGTGAGCTCCTTGCCTGCAACCATGAAGCTGGGCTTCCCTCTCGTCTCAGGGACTGCGGAAGCCAGTGTTTTGTGGGTGCAGGTCACCTGTGGCTGACAGCTCACTGCTCCACCCCTCCCTCACCTGCCCTGATCTGCTCTCCCAGCGTGGCTCACTTCAGTCCGCTCCCCTCCGTGCTGCACTTAGTTAGTTCCCCAGCCCCCAAACAGGCCAAAACCCACTCCCTCTGCTGAGCCAAAGATACTTGGCCTTCTCCTTGGTTTCCAAACCTGATGTTTTTCTTTCTTACTGGATAACAGCTTGTTTCCTTTGGAAGGAACATCTCAGGGGGACTGGAGTCCTGGTGTGAGGACAGGAGACAGGAGGGGTGAGCTCTGTCATTGTGAGCCCCTGTCCAGGAAGGTTTCCTTGTGCTCACCAAAGAATGAACCAAAGAATGTCTCAGGGTCGCCATTACCGTGGTGTGGCATGCAGTAGAACCCTGGGGTCACTGCCCAGCCTCATCCGTGGAGCCACCACCTCCCCTCCAATCCTGGGTTTAGAGTCAGGTATGCATGTCCCTGGTTCAGTTTTCAGAGATCACAGCCAGAGGATGACCCAGGGGGTCCCCGGATTCTAAGTGGGTGCAGAGACTCCTCCCTGGGCTGATCCTGAGCTGGAAACATGAAGCAATGAGTAGGTCAGAACTCCAAAAGGCATAGCTGCTGCTGCTTTTGTCCAGCACCCAAGTAGGCAGGTCTCCTCCAGGTTCTGCTAGACTCTGGAGGTGGGGGTGCCAGCCGCCAGTGAGCTAGCTGTTTGGGCATACCTTGTCCTGAGCCTTTTGAGACACAGGGAGGGCTCAGCCCTGATCCTTGGGGAAATGGAGGCTCAACAGGCATGTGGGCCCTATTTGAAGGTCACTGAGTAGAAAAGGCTTGAGGAGGCCTGTGCAGCAGCAGGTCCCCAGCCCTTCTGCTGTGGCGGTACACCCCCCTTCTCTAGTACTGGGTCCCAGGGGAAGAGAGCTCAGGTTTACACAGGAGGGGGCTAAGTTCCGTAGGAGAGTGTATGCCCCAAGACATTCCTCTCTGGTGGTAAGTTGTGGCTCCTCACCCTTGAGATATAAGACCCTGGCAGCCTTTTCCCTCCTCTTCCACAGTTACCTCTGGCCAGTGTCACTTACCTGGGAGCTCAGATATCGGGGATCGAAGAAGGGGTGCCCCAGTACAGAGCCTTCATGTGCTTCCTGTCGGCCTTTGCCACCACCTTTGACTTCTTCACCGGGGCTGCCGCTCTCCTGCCCTGCAGCAGGCTGCTTCTCACTCAGGCACCTCCTAGAGCCTGCTCCTGACTGCTGACAGCCAGCTGCTGTCCAGCTTCAGCTTTTTTGTTGTTGGTTGCCCGGGAGATCTAAGGTGTCAAATTGCCATTGTGAGGAGGAGCCAAGAGGAAGCCCTCCCCTGAGCTTGTCACACCCTGTGCCACCCTTACTCTCAAGATGGACAAAACCACTCCTTCACTTACTTATTCTTCCTCCTGCCTGAGGGCCAGGCTGTAGGCTGAGGGCTGGGCTAATGACAGAAGTGGTTAGCTGTGGTTCCCTGTGGAAATAACCCAGGAGGCTCCGTCTGAGGCTGCTGGGGGAAGAGGGTGGAGTGGCTCCCTCTCGAGCGCCCCACCACCCTCTGGAGGGCCTTTTTGGCTTATGTCCCTGACCACCCCAGCCTGTCTCTTGGGCCACTCCCTGGCTGCTTCCTCTGGCCTCTCCCAGGAAGAAAAAACGGGAGCTACAGGACCACCCAAGCAAGTCAGCAGGCTTTGCAAGCGCCCTCTGGTGTGGT